ATCAGAGAGGTTAAGGCTGCGTTTTTTACTGGATCTCAGAAAGATCTCTATTTTCTAGGTTGAGAGAGAAGGAAGAAAAGTTACGTAAGTTAAAGGCATCCACCGTATCAAAACCACCTGTCTTAAAATTTAAGGTATGTATGTTGGAGAGGTTTTTACTGAATGTTCTACTTGCTGTAAAAATACACCTGCAGTATGAGTTAATCTATTTATTCCCTCCCTCCCCCTCGTCCCTGGACATAATGTTGGTACAATAATTTTAATGTATTGATTGAAGTGTATGTGTGTGTAAATGTGTTGCTGTATTCATATACTGCAATTTATTACAAATATGTTTATATATAAATATATAAACCCATATATATATATATTTTAATATATTACACACAGACATAAAACTGTGAAAAGGTAAAAGCCGTTTGGGAAGTTACATTAATCACTATCTTAAACAATTTCACTTCCCCTTCGTCGACTAATCCATTTTCCTTGAGGACTACTTCTAACATGTCACACCTCTGAGCAAATCTCATTGAATTTCCTCCAGCAGTGGATTTGCCTTCCAGATTATTCTGGTCTGACAGTTAGCACAAGTTACTTTCAGTCTCATGAAATAGATTGCTTGCTAATCAGCTGTACAAATTGCCAGAATTTCTTAGCATTGAGAAAAATCATTTTTCTAGCTTCTTAGTGGGGTGTGCAACACTCTCTAGTTGCTCAACTACGGCCTGAAATATTAAACCATAAAAATGTGACATGATAGATGAGAACGAAATAGATGATTGTTTCTTAACTTGTCATTTTTCTTTCCTTCTGAGTTCAGAAGGGCTCCGAGAAGCAAAGATCAATCTTGAGCCATGAAAAACGAGGAAACTAACTGTAATGCAATTTGTCATAACCTTCTCCTTTTCATCACTGCTTAAAGCGTGTATCACACTGTTATCTCCACCATCAAGGAAGCTGGAGTCAGGCTGATACTCCTCCAGCTCTGTGAAAGATTGTTCATCACTCACTCGCATTTAAACTGAAGATTTTTTTTTTTTTTTTTTTGAAGAGGTGCTTTTTAGGCGAATCAGGAAAGGAGGGGGAAAGAAAAGAGAAAGAGGAGAGGAATTTATCAATCCAAATTACTGCTAGGTAGTTTTCCATTTAAGTACGTCCTTTCCCTGACCCTTACTGAAAGGAAGATGTTTTGTTTCTGTGGAGCTTTACGCTAGTCAGTACTCCCATCGCTTGGGTACCATGTCTGCCGCAGAGCTCCAGAAAGCCGAACGTGATGGCAACGTGCTTCTAGCAGCAGGATGATTAAAAGATGATGACTCATCAGCTTGCTGAGGGTGACTAGCTTGCTGAAAGAGAAGTAACTGCTTGGTAGGTACCAGCTACCAGCACTTTTGCTCTTCGAGGCAGGCCAGAGCTCTGGTTTGATCGTGAGTTGCTGTTAACTATGAGGGCTTGATCCATGAATTACTTTGATCTTTGCGATGCAGGTGGTTGGAGTCTGTGGTCACTGCTGTCATTAGGCTGTGTTACACAACAAAACAGGCATTACAGCAGTAATGAAAAAGGCTAGCCACTGCTGAGGTGTTGCCTCTTTCATGGACCAAAATAAATTAAGCTTCCTGGGATGAGGCAGTCACTAGTCCTACCTGAAGCAGAGTTAAGCTTGGCTGATGCTGAGCAGGCACGGATGTAACTTGGTGAAAGACAAATGCAAGAATAAACTCAGCAGCTGACTTGTCTGATATTTAATATTAAAGGAAGTTATCCGTGTGGTAGACTGACCCTTTTGGGAGGTAAAAAAATAAACAAACCTGAAGATACACAGTGTCTTGTATTTGAATAATGCCTTGGACAAGCCACCAGAATGGGAACTTGAGGGTGAGGTATCTTTGTCTCTCTTCCTTTACTTCTCCTCAGGTGGCACAATTTAATAAACTGCTAAAGCAATAGGAACTGCGGGAGTTAAAAGCAAAGGCAACACCCCGTTGTAAATGTAATTGTAAATGTAAAGCTTAGAAGTGCAGGCTACTCCCTGCCAGCTAAGTAAGAAGAATCAGAGTTATAGGCTAAAGGGGCTGAAGAACATGAAGATATGGAGAGTGGTGCATGAAAATAACGATGTTGCAGGATGATTTTCAGTCACAGCGGGTAAGAGGAGGGCAGGACATACTGCAGTTGCTCCCTGGTACTGAGATGCAAATTCATTTAAATCTGGGTTTGGCCAAAGTGCTTGAGGATTCCCTAGCACTTCTGTTCACTTGGAGTTAGAGGAACTCTTCCAAAAGAAGCTACAGCTTGGATTTGACCTCGTGTGTTCTATGTAGCATCATCTGACAGTGATGTCCGTGGTGATGACAACCAGCAGAAAGTATTTACAAGATACTAATGATTTACTACATGTACAAGAGTCATGAGGGCTTAATGGGATACTGACGTGCAGCCTTGTCTGAGAGGAGGAAGCCTTTAAACTGAATGCAATGCAGAACTGTGCTGTAGTAATCCAACACATGTCTGCCCAGTTAAATTCACTGTGTAACACTGGTGTAAGTCTCTCTTCTCTTAGTCTGCTAAGGCTGCAGAACTTTCCTTGGGTGCAGGAACAGGTAGAGGCTGCTGCAGGGATCTGTATTTTCTCACTCAGGGAGGATGTTTGGCATCATTTTGGGCTGAAAGACAGCACAGAGACATATATTGTAATCACCTTCTGTATCTTCTCTTTTAATGTCACCGCTAAACAACATTCATTTGTCCCCCATATGTACCTATGCACAAAAGAGCTGTGCTGCCTCGCTTCTGTTGGCTCATTCAACTTTTTTTTAATTTATTTATTCTGAAAACACTGCAGTCTTAAGTTGAATGGATGACTATTCGGCTCAGCTTCAGCTAAAAATACAAATAAATTCATTAAGTCTTCTGTTTATGAGTCATACCCAAGAGAAAAGTACTACCCAGAAAGGTCATGTTATTAAATCTTTCTCCTCTACTGTTAAAAATGTATAGGAGTTTGTGAAGTGCCTCACTCCTGCTTCTAGGAGAAACACCAGAATTAATAAATGTTTTCAAGAAAGATTTTAATCCTCTGTTCCCAGTAGGTTTCATCACACAACAGCCTTCTTGTCAGCTGCTTTGCAACAGTGCTGAGAGGCTGCAATCTAAAGGACTTTAGTTTCCCAAGACTTAGTTTTTGATTTTTAGCATTCACTGCTTTGGTGTTGGGCTGGAGCCACCTGTTAAGGTACCCACCAGTTGGTACTTGGCTTTTGTAAGCATTTCCAGAGCTGGAAGAAGGTCTGTGCATGGAAGAAAACAGATAGCAAAGAACAGAACCCTCTGAGAAGAAAGCACATCTGCGGACACTTAATCCTGTGTTGATCAATAGGGAAAAAAAAAATGGAATAAAAGCCAGGCACTGTGTAACCCCTGAACCCATTCACCTTTTGAGATTTGTGCCTGGTCTGTCATCGCCCAAAGTGAATTCATGAAAACCTCTTTTAAGCAACTGCTAGCAAGCATAAGCTGGCAGTCACTTTCTGATTTCTTTCTGGAGCAGAAAGACCATAATTGTGTATTGTGGGCGCTCGATATAGGAATATCAGATCGACGGGGTAAAAGGTTACTTATTCACAGTGCAGTCCTTTGAACTGAGTATCCATTCCCATTGTACCTGAAAAGGAGAAAGCTTTTTAGCCAAGCTGCAGAAATGTGAGGGTCTGTGTGAAGCTTGATTATAAGAAAGGAGAGCAGCTGTGTGCTAGGCTGGAGTGACAGTAGAGATGACAGAGCAGTGCTTTGCAGCGTGTGACACTGAGTAGCTTTGCTCAAGACCTAGATACTTGGGTGGTTTGTTTTTTTCGTTGAGTGGGGACTTGCGCATTCTTTTGGAAGGAAGAAGTGGGGCAGCAGTGCCAAGTCAGAGGAGGAGGAATGTTTTGTGCAGCGCTGAAATGTGAGGGATGAAGTGGACCATTATTTCTACACCCTGGCTCCATGCGTTGACATAGATGGCGAAAGCACATGGGAATCCAAGTGTCCTCAACAAGCACTTACCGTGAACCCAGTGATTTCTCTTGCTGGTTTAGTAGCAGCGTGCTAGGAGTTGCTCAGTAGTAGCGCCCTGCAAAGTGGTTACTACTGTTGGGAGAGTTGCAGTGAAGGTCTGATAGTGGTAGAACGATTTTTTTTGTAGAAGAAAATGCTCCCAAGGTTTAAAAAAAGTCATTTTGACTTGCAAAAAGACTTTTTACTACACAGTTTTGCATTTGCTGTTTCTAGAAGACGATGTCTGAGGATGGGTAATGGGATACGAAGCCGTTCACCTCTGAGTCGCTGTTGAATCCTGGCCCCGGCTGGTAGGGACCAGAAGTCGCTACCACTGGTGCATGTCCAGTGACCTTTGGCAGACAGGTTGGCAGTCACAGGTCAGGTTTACCCCCTTGCCTCTCGGTGTTAGAGGCAATCCTTTCGGAGCCAAGTCAGGACAGCCCTGGAGTCGCTGCTGGGCTGTACCTGTTCCTGGGCAGGGTTTGGTGGCACTTCTGTCCAGCACCCTTCTGTTCACTAACACTAGGTGTTTTAAGAGGTTGTACATGACACCAGCCTCTGTGTCTATGTGACTGCTATAAGTATCCTCTAGGTTGTCTTTAATACTCAGTGGAGCTTGTGTTTCTGCTTCCTCGACGGGTACATGTCACAAAGCAACTCTTGGAGTACTTGGTTAGGGTAAGGTTAAGGAGCTGTGGTAAGCTTTGGGAAATTTCATGAGAAATCAACGCTTCAGTCTTGTGAAACTCATCACTTCTCCTCAGTGTCTCTTGAATTCTTCTTGCTCCAGCCTTTCCAGTGTTGGTAGACCTCTTTCAGTTCAAATACCCCACTTGTTTTTCAACTATGTAGTTACCGTGTAACTCTCTTCTCAAAGCAAAGGGAAATGGGAAACTTAACATTCTGTGATTCTGTGAAACTTAACCTTCACATAATAGTGTGTACGTTATAGTGGTCTTCCCTGTTTTGACTTACTCATACTGTACAAGGCCCTCAGCTGAAAGACAGAAATCAAATCCAGCCATGTTGGGAAGCATTATTTCCAGCCTTATTAACATGGATAAACTCTCTCTTTAGGTTGAGAATTTCTTCTGTATGGGATCTCCACTAGCAGTGTTTTTGGCATTGCGTGGCATCCGTCCAGGAAACAGCGGTAGTCAAGACCATATTCTGCCCAGAACAATTTGTAAGCGCTTACTAAATATTTTTCATCCAACAGATCCAGTGGTGAGTTTTAATTGCAGCTGCAAGCTTTTACCTTGGCTGTTTTTAAGCATCAGTTGTGTGACAATGTGTGATCTTCAAAGCGTGTGGCTTAACGCCTTAAATACCATATACTTTGCTTCTCTTTTCATATTAATAAGCATAAGATTTGAGATTGCTCTGCTTTTGGTTTGTTTTTTTTTTGCAAAGGCATAAGAAATAATCCTTGTGTGTTTACCTTACTGACTTCCATTAAACATCATCTGTCCAAAGCTACCACTGCTGTTAAAAAAGGCTTCACAAGCAGTTTTCAAGATGCTGTAGAAAACCAAACCCCCTGGTGTTTTTTTTTCCCCAAGGAATCCAGGGTAACAGATTGTTAGAGGGTGGGATAGTGCTTGGGAGGGCAGGACTGGTATCGCTTCACCCTGTCTTACACTCTTCCCTAGGCAGCCAGCGCTCGCTCTTACCTTTGATCTCCATCACCTTGGCAGTTTCTTTGATGCAAGCTTGATTTGGGATTTCATGTTTACTGTAGAATAGTAACTCGGGGATATTTTTACATTTAAACTTGCCCTGAATCTGAGTATATTCAGGCTTCAGTCCAAATGTGCTGGTTCTGCTCATTTCAAGATCTTGTTCAGCTCCAACTACTCCAAACCCAGAATTTTCCTGGGACATCCAGGATGATTGGTCAGGCTGCAATCTGTGGTCCTGCACTGCAAATAGCTTTAAAATAAAGTGCAGAATGCTTTTCTGCATCTAAGTAAACAAAGAAAAATAAGGAATTATTTCTTTTTTGCAAAGCACATCAATTCATGGTTTGTACAGGGATCAATCGTTAGTGTTCAAACAAATGTTTATGTACCCAGTTCATAGAATCATAGAATCACTAAGGTTGGGAAAGACCTCTAAGATCCCATGACAGGGAGGTTGGATTAAAGTGATCTCTAAGGTCCCTTCCAGCCTAGGCCGTTCTATGATTCTATGATCATCAAGTCCAACTGCCAACCCAACACCACCATGACCACTGAACCATGTCCCAAAGTACCATGTCTGCACACTTTTGAACACCTCCAGGTATAGTGACTCCACCACTGCCCTGGGCAGCCTCTTCCAGTGCTTCACTGCTCTTTCAGTAAAGAAATTCCTCCCAATATCTGATCTAAACCTCCCCTGGCACAACTTGAGCTCTTTTCCTCTTGTCCTATTGCTTGTTGTTTGGGAGAAGAGACCAACCCCACGTCACTGCAGCTGTCTTTCAGGTGCTTGTAGAGAGCCACAAGGTCTCCTCCCTCTCTGTTGTATTGGGCAGAATCATCTCAGGTGCACATAGTAAGAGCCAACATCTGTTAACAGAAACTTCTATGTTTGTAACAATGTGTGGTACAAATGTTGCAGAGAATTGTGCAAAAGTCAAGGCAGGAGCAACTGGAGAACTAATATGTCTTCCAGGCTGCGAAAATAAAAGTGAACCAGAACATAACGCCACCATTCTGCCACTTCCTAGGCTGCACTTGTTACAGATATTTTGGGTTTGAGGTTGGAGAGGACTCTCTCTGGGAAGGGAGTGTGATTTTTTTTCAGTTTTGACCTCAGGATTTTCTTTTCTGAATTCCTCTCGCAGGCCTATAGGTTAGAACCCTTAATCCTGAAACACTACAGCAAGATTTCGCCTGTCCAGATCCACTGGTACAACACCGCGAACCCTTTACCTTATGAGCACATGAAGCCAAGTTTTCTCAGCCCAACAGAAGAAACTACCTCAGGTACTGATAACGAAAGTGTCTCAAATGTACCGAGCCCTAACACTTCACCAGTCATGGTTCGACGCCACTACGGGGAGTCTATAACAAACATAGGCAAAGCAAGTATATTAGGTAATTGTTCTTTATGTCCTTTGCTTTATATATAGGACCTTCTTGTAGAGCTTCACTGCTCCGTGATGTGGTGTTTGAGGTGCAACCGTAAGCAAACTATTCCTGGCTGTTTCAGTTTGGTGTGTGTGTGTGTGTATATATATTTGTTTTAATCCCAATTGGCCTTCACTTTGAGGAAAAGACAGTTTACGTACAGCAGAGTCAAGGCTTGCAGGGAGAGGGTGTGGGTCAGGGAGTTTTTGCTGTTGCTGCCTTGTTGTCATCTGCCTTATTGAGGTAACATTCTGGTTATTTAATAGCTTCTGCTGTACTTTGCAGGGTAAAAAAATGAATAAAGCTTGATCCATGATTGCATTTTCTGGTATTGGCAAATAGGAGAAAAATCACCCTATGTAAGCTGTTACGGTTACCTTTAACTCGTGATTTTGCAATAGGCAATAGAGGCTGCTTTAATATGAAGTCTGTCCCCTTATGGCTTTCTGGTTCAAAATAAACCCTGGTTTAAGTGGGCTTAAATTTACTTTCACTGGAGCTTACACTTGAGCATGCACTTGCAGTTTTTGTTGACTCAAGGCTTTTCTTTAGCTCTTAAAGTGGGATTTGGAAGAACGCTAGTGGCAGGAATCTTCCCAATCAAATAAGTCTATGAAAGCAGTTTAGTTCTTAAATAGAAACCTGTGGTATTTCAAGGCAGGGTTGACTTTTTCCTGTGTTACTGTAGTAACTATAGTGCCTCCTCCATAAGGTGGCAGCAGAGTCAGGAGAAAACATCACAGATCTGTTCTTCTACACCCGAAATTGTCCCTTTAAAGGAGATTGTAGCACTTCTAAATGTCTGTAAGCATGATCCCAACATAAGGACCCTTAATAAGAGGAACATCTTAAATGTCCTGATGGAATTCTTATGGGCAGAAGGTACTAACGTTGCTATAAAGCATTTTTGCCTTAGTCTTAGGCTTTGTATGGAAGAGGAATTACAACATATCTGTGAAAGTACCAGATTTCTTGCTGCAGAAGTGCTCTCAGTGTGTTTTTGTTCCCTTAACTACAGTTTCCAAATTATAGCCTTTGCTTGTATGCTAGATTAGTCTCATGATAGACAGTGTTCACTGAAGGCAGATAAGCTGTCCCCACCCTAGAAAAGCATGAATAGTGTTTTCCCTCGTCCGTCTCTCAGCTCTAATTGATGGGTGCTGCAGGGACTTTAATTTGCGGTTTCATTCAGCTCCCCTTGTGCTTGTGTTTTGTTTTTCTTCCCTTCCCTCTGTGCTGAACGACACAGGAGCTGCAAGTATTGGGAAAGGCCTCGGCGGGATGCTTTTCTCAAGGTTTGGTCGGTCTAGTACAGCCACCTCGCAGACGCTCGAGGCGGGTAAAGACGGAGCCGAGGGGGAAGACAAGAAGGCTGCGACGGTCGGGACACCGCCTTTGCCCGACAGCATCTCGGGATTTCTCGAGCCCACACGTTAGTGTCGAGTCCACCTTACAGACCCCAGATTTAGACTGGATATAAGGAAGAAATTTGCTGTGATGAGGATGGTGAAACACTGGCACAGGTTGCCCAGAGAGCTAGCGGAGGCCCCATCGCTGGAAACATTCAAGTCCAGGTTGGACGGGGCTCTGAGCAACCTGATCTACTCGAAGACGTCCCTGTTCCCCGCATGGGGGTTGGACTAGATGACCTTTAAAAGTCAACCTGATCTAGTGGGAGGTGTTGGAATGAGAGGATCTTGAAGGGCCCTTCCAACCCAAACCATTCTATGATCCTATCCTATATGTTTGTACACGCATGTACACCACACATGTATACATGCATGCATGAGTTTTGACGAATGAGATCTGCATTATCAGTAGTTTCTTAAGTCCCACTAGGAAAAGCAATATAATTGCTGCAGAGCACCCCACTCCCCATTTATCATAAATTGGATTTATTTGCGTTTCTGCAATTCCGGAGCCATCTGGGTTTAAAGGCACATGTGACTGGAAGCAGAAGCTGCCCTTGTCCTGATCTGAACCACCCAGAACAGAAAGTCTGATTTTAGCAGCTGGTTTTTTTGGAAAAGTATAGGTACTTCCTTTAGAGAAATTCATACTTGATTTTATTTCTAAACTTCTCGTTGCCACTGTTGCAAGGCGAGTTTGGGGGGTGTTTTTGGCAATCGAAGGAGTCACAAGTGTGTTTTATCTTGTGATGGCGTTCATGTGATACGTTGCTCTCCGTCCATCGCTGCTCATTTCAGCAGATAACCTGCCTGAGTCACTATTTGAAGACAGAAGCTTTGTTTTAAACTTGAGGAAAACAGAGTGGCCTGACAGAGGACGTTGTGGAGCTGCTGGTGAGGTCCTTTCAGGGCAGCTTGGCACATCAAGGGTCTTCTGCATGGTTCCTGCATCCTTGTCTGCCCAGGCTCTGTAGAAGAAGGTGGAGCGTTGGCCAGGGAGACAGCAAGCCGAGTGACGCAATACACCGACTAAGGCTTTGCTTCCGAGCGGGCGACCGCCTGACTTCTGCCGGGGCTTGGCTGCCTCCCAAGCTGCCGTAACGGCCTCTTGTCTGCGGGAGCTGGAGCATTCG